GGACAGACGCTTTGGTGAGCCTGCAAGGAGGGCCGAACGCCGTGCCCAGCCCCTCTGGGCGCCACCAAGCGCCGCGGCAGCCCCTCCGCCTCCGGGATCCGTCCCCGCAACCCAGCTGGGGTTCACCAAGAACCCTAAAGAGCTTCCATAAAGTCTCCAGAAGCGACTCCCCACAGCCCTCCCTCGGTGCCAGGGAGCTGGGAAGGCCGCAGGGCTGGGGACGGAGCCGCTGTGCACGGGCAGAGCATCTCCCACCCAACAATCGAGCCGCAAAGTCTATTTCTCTGCCGTTTGCTTTCCATCCCCAGAGCCTGCCAGCCCGTAAACACGCGTTCCTCTCGCTCTGGGACGTGTCAGATGTTGGGACTACAGCCTGCACCAGCTGGCTGACTTGCCCCTCCTCTTCTTCACACAATAAGAGACATTTCTTATGTGCAAGAATCCAGGAAGTCTCCTGCAGGGAACACTGTGATTTACAGTGTAATGCCCTGAGCGGGGCATTAGTTATTGGCAGGATTTTCTACCGCTGAGAACGAGCAAACGCAGCTGTCGCTCAGCAGCTCTTCCAGACAGGTACGAGTGGGATCCTCACTCCTTCATCCCCGTGGGAACGTCTTCCTGGCCATCCATTGTAACTTGGTCCACCCCTTCTGGGGAGAAGCCGCTGCTTTCTGGAGGTGACCAGCAGCTGCCAGTCAATAGTTGTTCTCCTAGACACCATGTGGAGACAAGTCTTGATTCCAGGGACACCACCAAGGCATGTGAACTTCCTAATTCCTCCAACCCAGAAGGCTGGGAACGGTCAGACCACAGCAGCGCTTCCCAGTATTGTTTCCATCCAAGAACCACCTAAACCCTTTGAAAAATACCCACAGCCCACTGCGTGCAGTTCTGCCGCCACGGTTTTAACTTGCAACCAAATAAACACCCTGCTAAGCTTTGCCTGCTCGGTGCTGTCACGCTGTTTGCCTGCACACATCTACGATTCTGGTTTTCTGACATAGTACCAGGCTCCATATCCAATTATCTCCTGGCCAACACCACCCTGTTGTCTACAGAACGGGGAGATGACTGAGTTATCGCGCAGAGACAGCCCTTTCCGAGGCAGCAAGTTGGAAAAAGTGGCTTGAAGACAACTAGAGAAGATAAATACATTTGGCCTGTCATCATCACGAGGCAGGATCCAGGACAAGCCGTGGGAGGAAGAACTAGACAGTAGCTAAGGGAGTGGGAAGATAAAAATCAGACTTTTTGTACTGCCAAAGGCACCCTGGTATCAACCTGCATCAGTGACAGCAGTTTCTCAGTTCCCCCATCTGTAAGACAGGGAAACACCATAATCACATTAAAATTGTGAAAAGCTGAAATATTACTGCAATGAAAGCTATGACTCCATGGGATCTGTCTACACAGACACTCTCAGGAAAGGGAATCTGAATTAAAGACAAGGCAGGATTACTTAAAACTTCGCAATCACCCTGTTAATGACTTGGGATTAAAGCAGTCACTGCACTTTTAAGTGAAAATGGCCCCACACAGGAGGTTGAATGCATGTTAATTAATCCCCCCTGGAAAAGAAAGTGAATTTGGCTCAACACCCTCTGGGCCACTAGCTCCAGCAGCAGCAGATAGTGATGGACAAACCTTAAACATGACAAAACACAGGAGCTGTTCTAAAGGCTGCCTGGAACTGGGAAAAAAAAAAAAAACCCAAACACATCCTGAAGCTTGTAAGATCCCAGTCAAACAAAAAGAGCAATCTTGGAAATGGAAACTAAGGATCAGGCTTTTTTTTGAGCACTTTGTATGTTGGATTTTGCCTGCATGATTCATTCATTAGTAGCCTCAGGGCTGGAACAGAACCCAGACTGCCGAGCCTCCGCGTTGTTGTGCCTGAACCACAGGGCTATTCCTGACAGTTGACTCGCTTCCTTCTCCTGTCAGCACCTTGCCAAAATAACAGCCAAGGGGAAGTGGCAGTGGGTCATCTCTTGTCGGTGATCGAGCGAGGGAAGAATAACTCTTGGAATCATCCCGTTCTTTCCTTAATTCCAGGTGCCTGAATCACTCCTGACTCACAGCTCCCATGCAACAGCCCCCGACTCCCACCGGGGTCAGCTGCGCAGTTATCTTCCCTGTCGGGCTCAAGCAGATGCACGCTGCCGGCGGGGACACGCAGACAGAATGCTGCCAGTGACACACGGAGAGACAGACAGGCCCCTTCTGTGGGCTTGCAAAGGTCATAAGTAAGCACACGTGTTCATTCATGCTTTACATGCAGGCATGCACACTTGTTAAGGCAAACGAGGGCACACTGGTGTCAGATGATCCGGAGAACTCAGCGCCACCTCTAAGGAGGACTGTGTGTTTTAAAGTGCCTGTCACTCAGCGTGACACTGGGCAGAGTTTGACCTCCCAGGAGTTCAGCATCCAGCATGCTGAGCTGCCAGCGCTTCTGGGCTAGGGGAGCACGAGACAGTTGCACCGCTAACTGCAACGTCTGAAAATCAGGAGGGTGCTTTTGTTTAACTACTGGTGCAAAGCAAAAATCAGGCCCGCTCTGTTTTGGGAAAAAAAAGAAATCTTACGGTGCTTCAAGTTTCCTGCTTATTAACCAGGCAATTTTCCAAGAAAAATGGATTTGCCTTGGTGGGAAAAAAAAAAAATGAGCAGTTGTAAGTAATTCAGTGTTGGCACGTTCACGTTTGGAAGTTGAAAACAGCGGATTTCGTTGCATTCGTGACAAAGCCAAAGGGGAAGGGCAGAAAGTAACTCAAAACAGAAATGGAAGATGAAAACTAAGAGAGTGAGATCTCTCTCATTTAAAAAGAAACCCAGAAAACAAAACCCCAACAAAAACTTTCAACCCATTTTGAGCAAGCGAAAGCTCTCGGCAGTTTTCACCAGGTTTGCACAGCTTCAGCGCGGAAAAAGACAACAAATTTCTGCAGGGAAGGACTTAACATTCGCGCGCTTTTCTAGCACGTGTCCCGGGACACACATCATCCAACGGACACACCAGCAGATGTGCTCTTACAGGGTTGCAAGCCAGCAAACACAAGCACCCCCTGCCTTGGGGAAAAAGCCCCTGTCCCTCTCTCCTAGCCCCTGGCTCTCACACGCATAGGATGGGAGCAAGCAGGGAGGGCAGCTGGAGAACTACGGATGCAGTTGTCTCGACTCTTCCAGGGAGACCCCTTTGGAAGTCCAAACTCACATACCTTCTGATTCACGTACCTGCCCGGCTGCTTTCCGACTGATTTAAGAGTGGGTTGATTGATAGCCCAGACGCGAGGGGGCTTCCAAAAATATGCGAGGAAGGGAGGCTAAATGTTGAACCTGCCAGTGAGAACACCTACATGGCGAAACAAGGAGAGAGAGAAATGACTTCTCAAAAATGCAAGAGGAAAATCACTTCGTTATTCCATCTCTTCCTGACTCTTGAACCCAGCTTGCTCATGAGAACGAGCGTTAAAAATATCTTCTTGGAAGTCTCGCTAGACAGTTGAAATCTTCCCAGCCCCGTCTCGGAGCCAAGAGGTCTGAATGAGCCATGTTAACACCGAGGCTGTAAAACCAACTCTCTCCTCCCTGTAAAACACCTCTCACAGTGAGCTCCCGACAAAGGACGAGGCTCTCTGGCTCCTGGCACACGCACAGCCCACCCAGCTGGGACATGCGAGCCCTCCCACCAAGTTATCTGTGCGCTGCAGAGCGAAGATGGGGCTGGCACCGGTGGCAGGATCCTGCCACCAGCAGCACAGGACACAGCACACGCCGGCGGCCCGGCCTCTGCAGCCCGAGCGCTCTGTGCTCCCCTTCCAGCCAAGGGAAAGCCACACGTCCCTTCGGCTTACGGTTCCTCTCACCCCAAAACAGGCTGCGTGGGCTGGGAGGCAGAATTGCCTGCATCTTCCTACCAACTCTAAGGGAAGCTGCAGTTGGCAGCTCCCCTCCACACTGAAGGAAGAGCAGCTGTTCCCGAGGGGAAAAAGCAACTCCTCTGCGCCCACAAACTGGCCCTGCTCTGCCAGTGACTGCTCTCTCCAACGCTCTCCTGAACTACAGGCCCTCTCCTGGTCCTGATGTTCTTACCTGGGTGGTGGAGACCGAGGAGGAAGAAGCTGGGATGGTGCTAGCAAAGGGAGACCGGTTGAGCTGTGGGAGAGACGACGTACCCTGGTGTGCCAGCAGGCTGGAAGAGAGGGGTGTACTGCACACAGCTCGGAGCACTCCGCCCCCGTGGGAAATAGGGTCCTTGTTACTGGTGTAGATGCCTGCAAGGGGAGGAGACGCGTTAGAGAGCCACGCTCCCCTCCGATGGCCTGAAAGCAGCTGGTTTTCTGCAGGGCTTCAGCTCAGAAAGGGAGGGTGGCACCAATGCACCGGACCAAGTGTAAGATGCATCTCAGCATCTCACGGCCTGGCATGCAGCGAGGACGGTCACAGCCCACAGTCCCTCTATCAAAAGGTGTCACAAACTTTTCCAGCCTTGCCCCTGCCCCCGCCTCTTGTTGGCTCCCCGTGCCCTGATACAACCCCACAGAGAAATCACAGCATGAAGGGACTCACCGAAGGCACAAGCCAGTGGCAGAAGGGGGCAGTGGACTTGGGGAGTCCTACTCTCTGCTGCCCATGTTAGTCAAGAGGCCACACTCTCGCTGAGCTAACCGGTCCCCTTCTGTGATGCCCAGGGACCACAGTGGGGCACAGACAGAAAAATGAGGGAGAAAGGGTGAGGAAAGAGCTGCTGCTGAGGGAGGGGATCCATTTGACATCCCCTTGGCTCAGGCATGCACCAGAGGCAGTGCCCAAAGCCGGGTCCTTCAGAGCCCTGCCAGCATCTCCCCGCAGGGGAAAAATGGGAGATCCGAGCAGGCAGGAGAGCTGGGCCTGGCAGCCTCCTCCTCTTTGAAACATCCCTTTGTTGTTCCAGGGGGGGAGGTAAAAAAAAAAAAAAATGGCCTAAGGTTATGATTATGGAAGTTGCACCAATCCTTGCAGCTCGTCTCCCCTCTCAGGCAGTGCAGACAAACGGGCCAGGGCTCCCAGGCGCACGCTACAAAATTATACCTCCCCCCCTTGCAATCTGACCTAAATTGGAGCATCTGCAAACAACCCACAATAGACCGATGACAAGTTCTGCTGCCAGAACAGTGTCAAACCTCAGCCCTGAGCAGCAGGCCCCTCCTCTGCCTGCAGCCTTAACCCCTTCCTGCCACTCGTCCTGGCTGCCCTCATCCCTGCCAGGCCAGGGAAGGGGACTCGGGCTGGGAGCTGCTGTAAGCCTCTCAGCAGAGTCAACGGTGTGCCAGTCTCCCAGCCCTAAATGGACGTGGTAAGACCAGGATGAGAGGTTTTGCTTTTAAAAGAGGGGTTAAACTCAAACCACTTATGAGAGTCTCTCATTTGGGGTCAGGCTGCGGTTGTTCCAGTTTGGCCTGTGAATATCCCTCTGGATTGCTCTGGAAATGAAGCGCTGCCTAGCTGAGGTTTCCCAGCACTTGAGCAAACAGGGTTTGAAACATCCCCCCCCCCAGCTCAGATCTGCAGCCCAGCTCCAACGACAGAGAAGCTGACCTGGAGGAGATTGTAAGATGAAAGCCAAGACGGAAAGGGGAGACCCAGATGTGGATTTTTATAGCTCCTGGGAGTGAATTAATGGGACTGGACCCTGTGCAGACAGGTCCAGACACCAGCCAAATGTGATGAAAAAGACAGCAGGGCTGGGAGGAACTGTGCACACCTGGAGCCCTAAGGGGGAACATACCTGAACCCAGCAGCGGGGACTCCATGCTGAGGCTGGGCAGATTCCCTGTGTGGCTGAAGGACCGTGAAGAGTTGCCGATGCTGGAGCTTACAAGAGAGCCCCCGGAGAAGGGTGACGAGGAAGTAGACGTGGACCCAGCCAGCTGGGCACCCAAAATCTCTTTGCTTTTGCCCCCTTTTGGCCTGCCAGGCCCATGCTTGTTCTTCTTGCTACCCTTGTGCTTCTTTTCCTTCAGCACCTCTCCCTCCTCCATGCTGAGGGACGGCATGCGCTTGTGGCTGCTGCTGCTACCACTGGTCCCACTGGTCCCCACCGAAGGGCCGCTGACAGGGTTCGAGGCCTTATAGTCCACGGGGGAAGCATCACGGCCCCTCTGCTGGCTCACCGCGGAGGTGGAGAAGCGCATGATGGACCCGAAGCCTGAGAAGATCACCTTCTGCTCAAAGATGTCCCCCTTCTGGCCTTCATACAGAGGGGAACAGTGGGAAGAAGAGGAGGAAGAGACAGGCTTCCGGTACTTCTCGTCGTCCTGCTCAAGCTTGGGGAACGTCACGAAGTCCTGGGAACACTGCAAGTTGCTGCAGGAGGTACCTGGGGGAAGCAGAGGGGAAGCAGATACAGGAAGGCTCGTGGCGGCAGTAGCTCAGCCCAGGAGACAACAGGAACATGGTCACAACACAGGTCCTCTGGCACGGGCTAGTTACGGAGCTGAAGGCCACCCCTGCCACCTCCCAGCCCGTTGCTTTGACGCTCTCTGGCAAGCACGAGAGATGCACCCCAGCGGCTCCATCCCACCCGAACGGGCACGTGTCCGCTCCCCCAGGCCCTGCATCACCACTGCCCCTCCGGCCCCCATTAGGGTCCCTGGAGATGAAACACGCTCGTCCTTACGACAGCAGCTCGAAAAAGAAGTGAGCAAGGTCAGAGCAGATGGGAGCCCTGCAAGGCTTCGACTCAAAGCTCAGGGGAGCCTGGCTATCAGGTTTTGGCTCAGGTCTCTCCGCTAGTACTCCTTAAAACACTGCTGCAGACAGCACCACCTACGGAGGAGAGGGCAGGTGCTGCCCATACGGCCTGTGCACAGTATCGCTTCCCTCCTCCCTCCGCTCAGACATCTGGATCTGTTTTTCCTTGCAGTGCAGCAGGCCCGCGCAGGAGGGGAGCTGTAACACTCATCTGACTCGGTTCTTCCCTCTGTGCACGGAGTTAGTAGCAATGAGACTTTTCCCTTCCTCTTCCAGGGGTTAAATAAATAGCCGGCAGCAAAGTTTCACAGCACTCGCTGGTGAACGGGTATCTTTACAGATACAGAGATATCCAAGGGGAGCAAAGCAAAACATCACCCCCATTCTCTCCTCCTCTCTTGCGTCTCTTTCACCCCTTACCTGCAGGCTGGAAGGTCCCGCTGGAGGAAGCTGAGCTGAAGCCAACCGAGCTTTTCCCGCTTCCCGTTTTTTTCCCCTTGTGGCTGCTGCCATGGCTTGAGGACTTCCTGCCTTTCACCTCCGACCTGCCGACCTCCGAGGTCTCTTTGCTCCCCTCATGGTGGCTGGTAGAGCCCTGGCAGCAGCAAACACAGAGGTGACTCACTCAGGCCAGATGTGGCCACAGCAGGGGCTCTTTTTACCAATTTCCCCTTAAGAGAAGTAATTGCCCCCTCTGCCCACAAAGTGATGGTCAGGTCAGGTCATGTTACTCAGGAGAGAAAAAGCAACATTCCCCTCTGCTGCTGCTCGGTGGCACCAGGCTTTATACTCCTAGGGATTACGCTCATCCCATCTAACTGCAGGAAATTAAACAGGGCACTGACAATCAGGGCACGGGCATCAGAGATCCCCCGCATCGTCAGCAGAGGGGAGTACCTCGGAGGGTTACTCAGCCCAAATAAAATCTGAATTTGGCTGGGATTCAAGCGTGTATTTCAGCTGCATCTCTCAGGTGTGCTGTTCTCAGCACGGTCATTCCACCTGGGGGAACTTGCTGGTCCTTGTGCTGTGATGGGAGTTTCCCTGAAGCATCCGCTGAAGCAGCTCCGCTGCCAGCCCGGGGCTTTCCAAACTTACTGCAGTAAATATTTCACAGTGACACTGTTAGAGCAGCATCTGCCCATGCAGCAACAGATGCTATCCAAACCCCATCTAAGCCTGCAGGAGACAGGGAAGCAAGGGGGATGAAGAGGCGGGCCAGATGCTAGGAAATCCAGGAGCCTGAGATGAGAGAGAGAAGTGTGGGAGTTTAGCAGGGGGAAGAGTGGAATGAACCGAAAACCAGATCCCCCGGGGCACCCACGCTAGGATATGAAACCTTCACCTTCAAGTCACTTCAAAGCCAAACTAGCAGTGCTCAAAGATCACTTCTTGCAAGGCATCACTGCACCCAACCAATACGACAGATCCAGCTCCGATGGGATGGCTGCAGCCCAAAATACACCACCTGCACACAGTGCACACACCTTTTATTTCTCACCGAGCAGATACAAGGAAGACGCAGAGAAGCGCAATACCTCTCTTACATTCCACCATCCCCGACTCCAGATGACCTATTCTTGCGGAAGAGCTAAAGAAAAAAGGGCTTGTAATGCAGACTCATGAATGCCCAGATAAAAATCTTTCCCCATTCCTCCCACATGGTTTAATCACTCCGCACAATGCAACAGCTGGCAGCCTAACACACACCAGATGTGCCGGGAATATGAAAGACAGGAGGAAGGGAGTGGTGGAAATTAGGGGGGAGAGGAGGGGGACTCTGTATTTTCTCATCACAGACTCCTGGATGTAGGAGATTAAGCCTTCTTGATTTATGAGCTCAGAGGGAGCATGAAAATCTTTCCGACTTTCCACATCTGCCTGGGGAGGGAAAGGAGAGCAGTGTCTGGGGGCTATGAGCAGTCCTGAGACTGCGCACGAAGTCACAGGAACGAGATGGCTCATGTCTCAGCAGAAATGCAAAGCCCTGAATTTTCCTCCCATAAATTCACCTCTTTGGAGCTCCGCACAAGGTGCATGAGGCCACAGAAGGGCAGAGGGAAACCACATGAGAAGACATGTTCTAAATCTGGAGTGTCAGGAATGGAGTGCAGGGCAAGTAATGAATTAGTGCAGGGTGGAAGGGGGAAATCTGAGCTGGGAAATAAATCTTAATTGCAAAATTAAAGGGGGGAAAAGAACAAAAAAGGAGGGGAGGAGAGGCTGAGGTGGCTCAGCTGAAGGCGGTGAATGGACAGACACTCACCTGTAGGGCTGATCTGACCTCACAGACCTCCCCAAGAGACTTCCAGAGATTTCGGGGGCAGGATTTTCCCACCCCCTGCCAAATGCTACCCTAGGTATTGTTTGCCAAACGGGTCACAGCAGACAGATCTGTACGGTACTACCACAAGCCCTCCTCACCATAAAGGGCCCTTCTCTAGCAGCTGTTCCAGAAAGCCTGAATTTGGGGCAAGGACCCAAGCAGTGCAGCTGAGGAGCAGAGAGGGAAACTAAAACCACACCAAACCACTTCCCCTCTCTGAACCTCTATTTTTTTTTTCCCCCACTTTGCTCTGTGGAACCTGCAAGCTCTGTGTGGCAGCAGAGCTTTCCAGGGGACACACGTGGACTGCCAAGCACAACACGGCCTTGACCTGAAGGGGAGGGGTCTGCTATCGTAATGCCAATGTTAATAGCGGTAACGAGGGCCGCAGTCCCATCGCCTCCCTAATGAAGGGGATTCTCCAGCTCAGGGCTGCTGCCTAGAGGGAGCAGGACGGGAGAAACCCGCATGCCTGCTGCTTGTCTTGTGTATAAACAGAGGTCTCAATCTCTGGCTCAGCGGCTTTTCTCCAGCATGAAAATCCGTGTGTGTGTGTGTAGAAACCAATGTTCCGTGTGTTGCAAACAGGTGGGGGGGAGGGCATGCTGCAGAGGGGAAAAAAAAAAAAAATAGGGAACCACTGGGGAAGCGAGAGCTCTCTTTCAAAATGAGGCAGCAGCTACATTTTGAAGGTCTATTTAAAGCAACCAAGTGAAAAATGTCACCAGAATAAACCCGCTGCCCCAGCTAGAGGTGACAGTCTGATGGGGAAACTCCTGCATCAGCCCAGGAGCAGAGAGAAGTGAGGCGAAGTCGCGGGGGCACCCAAGCGCAGGCATGCACGCACCTCCCCCCCCCCCCCCAGCACTCGCTGTCCCCCGAGGGGCTGTACCTGCTTCCTGGCCTCTCTGTGACACTGTGCAGCACCCAAGCTCTTCGTTCATTAATTTATTTATGGGAAATCAGAAGAGCATCGCTTCGCCTCCTGATTGGCAGGACGAGCTCCTAGAGGGAACCACCGATGAAATCCAGAAGGGGTGGGGGAGGCTGGCGCGGCGTAGGAAACACAGAGCGGCTTTGCCCTGGATTAAACTACTGGTGAGGGGAAGCAGGGAGGACAAGAAGGAGGAACAATGCGAGGAGAGCAGAGCGACGTGCTGAAGCAGCCGCCCAGGCAGGCTGTAAGCATCGGCTGCCTTTCCGGGCTGGGTCGCCAGGCAGAAGCCCAAGGAGTTTCTGTCAGGAGCTCCGGGCCAAAGCGCTCGCACAAGCTACAGCATCTCTGTGTCTGAGCCACTCGCAACCTCCACCGTGTCCCCTCCCTCAGCCTCAAGACCAGGCAGCACTGTGCTGCTGCTCTTCATAGGTGGGGACTGAAGACACAGATGGGCTGAAGACCGTATTTTTAAGACCCTGACGTCACCGGCAAATTCCCACTCACGTCAGCACAAGGGATGCTAAAAGGCTCAGGGATTCTTACTGCAAATATCCACACTGCGAGATGCTTTGATTAGCAGGGGTAATCGTCAGCTTCCCCCCCAGACCCCTACCCATCGCAGCGGCTGTGACTTTGCCTGAGCCAGGCGCAGTGCAGAGGTTCCCAGGATCTGTCAGCTCCAGGCCAGTCCTGGGTAGATGCCGAGAGCTCAAGTAACAGTGGGAAACCTGGAAAGTCTCCCTGCCTCCGCGAGCTCTTCGCCCTGCTGCGCTCCCTTCTCCAGCACCTGACCGGGAGCGGGTGGGTGTGGGGAGGCCTTGGCATCCACGGCTTCGATTACAAAACCCCGAGCAAGCCAGATGTTGCAGCCCAAAACACGTAGCATGTGCGCGTGTGTGTCAACAAGTGATCGTGATGTCTGCAGCTGGCAGCAGGAGGCAGCTGGGGAGGCTTGCGATCCTGCAGATTTACTGCAAGTGCAACAGCGAGCGGCGGGATGGCTCCCTGGGGCATTTGCAGGGGGAGGGCAGAGGCACGCTGCTTGCTGTTCGGCTGCTCGCTAACCCCGATCCCAGCACCGGGCACCAGCGACACAGAGAGATCCCGAGAGCAGAAACTGCCTCCTGGATTTGTCTGGCGGTGGGTGACTACAGAGCTGGAGCAGCCCTGGCTGCCAAGACTTACTGGTGAGACTCATTGCTCCTCCCCTGGCGAGAAAGCCTCCTCTGCCCCAGGCCCCGCTCCTTGAATGCCGTCCTTCCAGCAGGCTGTTCAAAAGCGTTACTGGTTGGCAGCATTTTGGTGGTTTTGGATAGGCCACGTGAAACAGCCAGAAACTATTACAGCCAGAAGCTATTATCCAGAGGAGATGTTTTCTGCCTCCTTCCTACTGCCCCAAAAGTCTGCAGGAGCTCCAAGTAGCTGGCGTGACAACAGATAAGAGCCTATATCCAGCACAAATCCACTCTCTACACTTCTCTTCCACCTCCAAATCCACCCAAAAGCCCCAGAGCACCACTGGGGCATTTTCAGCAGGTCAGCGGCTTTGTGTGCTCTCTGGAAGCGGCGCTCCTGTGCCCCAACGAGCAAGGCCTCCTGCCCCTCTGAGAGCGATGAAAATCGCATTGCCCAAAGACACCGTCCAGAGGCAGGAGGAGAGCTCAGAAGAGGAGTTACGAAGAGTCGTTTGCACGCTGTGAACTCACACCCTAGTTTCACTTTCTGGTGCAGGTGAGAGCTGAGGCCACACCACCGTGTCTTCAGTACATTTATCCCCCAAAACAGAGTGAGGCAGTGAGAGCTTGTCACTGCACAGAAAGGACACAGAGGCCTGGTAGAGCTCAAGTGTCAGATATTAACGGAATTTAGATTCCTAGAAAACACAGGGAAGCACTCAGTGAGATGTTCAAAAATCTGGCAGAAGTCAGAGGTCTAGCACAATTGATTTCAAGAGGAAGACTGAAACCACATCAAAGGATCTTCTTCATAACTAAATGGTTCAAGAGGGGAGCACAGGGTGGACGACATATTAGGTGAAAACTGGAACTGAAAAGTAAATCTGGGCTGCAAAATTAAAGCAAAACGTGAACCCAGAGGCCAGGCTGCCTGAGGAAACAAGGAAGGGGGATATACCACTGCTCCTCCAAAGCAACAAAACATAGGGCCACTGCTGTCAGCCTAATCTGGTGAGGCAGCTGGAAAAGTCCTACTATATAGGACTATAGGTCTGAAAATCCATTATTAAAGGATTGCTGAACGTTTCCGAGGACTTTGGTAGCAACTTCAGAAGCTGGGGCTCAGATGTCTGTTGCCCCAGGCTCCTTTTCGGCTAAGCAATCTGGGAGCAGACTGGAGCGTGGCTTCAGGTACTGGTAACACCTCTCCATGGGCTGGTGGCTGGTGCCACCCTACAGTCTGCCCGAAGTCCCGGTGCCCAAGGAGCAAGCGGTGCCGGAGCCCTTCTGCTGATTCATCTGACGGATGCTCCTGCTCCTCACTGCTGGCTCCAAAACACTGGTGATGCTCAGTGCCTCCAGTCCAACCCCTGCTCCAGCACAGCCTGTGCACCGGGACGGGAGCCTGGGACTGACGGTACGTGGTGCCACGTTGGCTACGGTGCGAGCAGTGCGGCAAGTTGGCAGCACTGGTCTGGCACGGACATCAAGGGCTGCACCAGCCTCCTGGGGCTTTGCGCTGCGGCTCTGGGCCAGTGTCCTTCTCCCAGGAGCCTGGCCACGACCATCTGCCCTCACTGCTGCAGGTCACGGAGATCTGCTCTCCCCCAGCTGCTCGCCAGGAAAGATGGGGGGCTGGGGATTATCCCCGGGGGAGTTTACGCTCCAGGGAGCTTGGAGAAAACAATGGAGGTGATAAATTATTTGCCCAAGGTCACGCAAGTCGCAAGGAGAGGACAGACATCAGCTCTCTTCAGACACTAATACAGGGACTAGCGATTCTCTTCTGCATAGTCACACCACGAACATCAGCTTTTGGTTTGTTGCATCCACCCTACCCACTCCCCAGTACACTCTACTGGGATAAGCTGTACTAATCTAAGACCCAGAAATGACAAAGATGGTTTTGGCTTCCAAGAGGAAACCTGTTCGGACATGCTACATTAATGTGTCTTGAGGTTCTGCATTAGTCTAACCTGTGCAATGTTACACTGGTGCAACTACCCAGAAAACCTCATACAACCACCCCCTGAGGGGTTTGTGCAGGGCTGTAGCAGGCTGTTGAGCATCTCTTACATTTGATCTGGAGTGAGTACCCTTTGGTAATGGAATTTGAACAATACTTTGGGATCTATGCAGAAAAAAGCAAGGGAAAATACGCTCTCTGTTACGAGGATTAATAATAACTCCCTAGGGAAACACTAAAACCCTGTCACTCAAGTACAGCTACAGTAATTAGGATCTCCCGAATTTTAGCTTACAAAGAGTTGAAAGCTGCCTGTAAAACTGAATTGCACCCTTCCCTCCTTATTTACAAAGGTCTGACAGGGCTTTGGAGGAGACAGTGGGTAATTGTCTAACAACACTCTAGCTGGACAAGAGTCAGGTTTTGGATTTCAGTTCAGCTTGCAAATAATCTTCTTAGGCCATCAGTTCCTGACAGCTCTGTTAACTGGGTGAATCTGCTGTTCCCCAAAGCCAGAGCTGAGCTGCCCTAACATGAGCACAGGTAAACCAAGAGCGGTTGCAGCTCAGGGGCTGTTCCTCCACTCCGTCCCGCTGTAACTTTCTGCTTCTCCCAGCCTGAGAACCGTGAGACCAGCTTTGCTATTTCAGCTCTGACCTACATCTGCCCCTGCTTCCAGGCTTGGCCTCACAGAGAACACAGAAAATCCTCTTCAGTCCTAACCCAGCGCAACCCTGTGCTGAGTGGCAGGAGCTTTCACTCTTCCAGACTGTCCCTGCAGTGCTTCTCACATAGGCAGACACTGCTAGCCCGTGAATTTTCATTTTCACAAGGCAGTCCTGCCACGTGAAGGACATCCAAGCCTTTCCAAGTAGCGTTTCTGCGCACAAAAGGACATTCCTGGGACATGTTGTTTATTTGTTCTAGCAGGAGCTTGGCCCTAGGCCTACTCTCACTTACACCAGCACAGCCCTGCTAAGGAGCTGCATTAATTTACGTTCCCACTACAGCGAGGAGAGGGCAGCTCCAAAGATCCGGGCGCTGGAGTAACCTCACTTGTTCCCTGACCCTGAACAACCGTGAACTTGGCCTTCACCTTGTGCATGCAAGCTCAAGGCAAGTTCCACTGGGTCTGTTCTGTGTTACTGGAGTTTGGGGCTGGCAGGAATTACAGAAAGCTCAGGGCTATCCTGATTTACAGCCAGGTGCAAGAGTCCATGCCAGCAGCACGATGTCAGCAGTGAACAGCAGAAACACACTGACATCCTGACCGTGCCCCACCAGCCCTGGGCACTGAGAAGACAAATCCACACAAGCGACATCTTCCCAGCAGGGAACTGGACTGGCTCTACACCTCAGGAGCAAAACAGGCCACCGCACTGTGCCCCTCTGCCCGAATTTTCCTGAAACAGAAGAACTAGATAGAAACCAACCTCCCATTGTCTCACACAGAAAAGCTACCTCTATTATGCACTTTGAAGATCTTATGTGCTTCTAAGATTGTCTGGTTGTTTTTTTCCCCCTCAGCTACATCAGTTTGTCTAATAAAGGGTAACACCCCCTCCCACAAGCCTTGCCTTGCTTATCCACCTGCCTGAGCTGTTTACAACGTGGCAGCAGAAAAGGCCAAAACATGGATATTTATCTATTCTGCGAGAGCTTCAAATCTGAACATCTGCCGCAAAACAGGCTGGCACTTACAGCTCAATCCCTTGGGAGTTTAGCTCCATGATTGTGTCGTCAGCGCTGACAGAAATCAAGACAGCTGCCGCGTTAAATTCCCAAGGTGGGCGTCGAGGTGGGGAGTCAGGCAGAGAGAGCGAGAACGTGACGAATCAGAAACCAAAACAAATGGACAAAAGCCCTTTCTCCGCTCTTCTGCCCTCTTCCGTCCTCCCCACTTCCTAGGAAAGCCGGTGTCGACGGTTTCCCCCTGCCCTCCCTCCCCGCTCTGCATTCACACCCTCCAGCCTGTGCGTTCGTACCTTCTCTGCAGCGACGGGCACCGAGGATGGGGTAAGGCTGGTGGGAGACTCCGGACGTTTTTTGTGCTTCTGTTTAGGTCTTTCTTTGTCTTTCCGACTCTGCAAAAGAAATCAGAGAGTACTGGAAGGCTAACTTTCCCTCTGCTAAGAATAGCAGTTGTAAGGGAAAAGAAAGCAGGGTGTGTAGGGGTGGATTTACAACCATACATTCATATTCCTCTTTCCTTCTCCACCCATCCACATGAGCCCAGTATCCCTTCCCCCACGTCCCAGCTTCTGGCCGGGAATGTCCCACTATCTCTACCCCAGCTGCAGCCAACATCTGGAGTGCAGAATATCAACAGAAGCCCCCAAACCAGTTTATGGTAAGACGATAGGGAAGGACTTAACAAGCTCTGGCTGATTTCAAGAAACCTGAGCTTTCCTCTTGCTGTTTCCCAAGAGGGGCTCTGTGCCCCCTTACCCTCGCTCTCTACCATCTTCGAGGGTTTCCCAGGTCCACCCTGTACAGACAACGGGAGAATCTTGATTCCAGCACGTGTTGCATGTGCACAAGTAAAGAGACGAGTCAGCGGAGATCTCAGAACCTAGGTTTGAACCCAACCTAGAGATCCCCCACATCTCCCCTCCCAACAGAGACAGCTGGTCTGGGTCCATCTCTGCTAACAGCAGACTATTTAGTTGGATTTCTTCATCCTGTTTCTTCTCTCATTAAAACCCCAGAAACATGGGATTCTTCCAATTACAAACGAAGGGAAAATCATGGCCTGAGAAACGCTGAGTCCTGCCTGCCCTGATTTTCTGTTCTCCTGGGGAATGGACTGTAACCGAGGAGGTTATTCCTATACAGTTCTAGCTGGATGTTTATGCTAAAACTCAGATGTTTTCAGCAAAAGGACTGAAAACATAGGCCTGTGTGACCTCAAGTCAGCGAGGCTTGAGGATGCCCAGGCCAGCTGGCATACAGGATGGATGGATAGAGGAGCATGCTCCACCGCACACTCCGGCTTCCTCCCTGTCTTCCTCAGCTGCACGCTCCCAGGGGAACACGCTCAGCTGACTACAGGAGTTTTCCGTGCTACCAATGTCCGCTCAAGGTGTAGCCGTCTTCGCTGAAGCTGCAGAAACTTTTGTGCTCAGTTCCAAACTTCCCAGTGTGGTCACTGGTGTGTGGACCAAGAGAGCTGCTGTCAGAGAAACACCTGCACGAGATGCAGGGCTTAGAAAAATCCCTCCTCCTGTCTCTGAGACCTTTTTGTGGGAAAGAAACACCTGTTCTGGTACAATTCCCTTGCACGGGCGTTTTATTCTAGAAGCTGAAGTCCTCAGTCTGGACCGAAGGTGTGTTCAGAACAGTCACATCAAAAATCCATTCACTCTCCAGAAAGATGCTGATTGCTTCCTCATGCAGGCAAAGCCCTGAGGCTACAGCTGCTGGCACACGCCAAAGGTGGGATGTTGTCAGGGGAAGATGTGACTGCAGCAAATATATAAGCTCCACTGCATGGTTTTGGGGGGGAGAGACGAAAGTGGAACAATTAGCTTAAGAAACAATACACTAAATGGGGAAAAAAGGAGCAGGAGGAAAAGGCTGGAGAAGGCAGGCGTGAAATAAGGCAGAGGTGAAGCAAAAGTGCTCCAGAAACCAGCACCTTCCAACGTGGGTTTGGCTAAATTTTCATTGCACTTGAAAAGGAGGCCCAGGCTGCAGCCACCAGTGACCCTGCCAGCGTAAACCTGCCGTGACACCACGGAAGCTTTCACTGGGATGAGCTGGTGAAAAAAGGGGGCAAATCCAGCCTAGAGCTTCCCTGCACCTGCTGAGTGCCCCACCAACACCGCCAACACCCATCGTTTTATCACAAGACTCCTGGCATTTGGCGCATCCGTTAAAGCCTGTGTTCCTAGAGCTACGGTATTTCCGTTTTCTTTTTTTCCCTTTCTTTTAATACACATTTCCAGCTTTGGCAGTGAACATGGAAAGCTTGAAAATGTGATTTCTACAGACTAAGTGCCGAAAAACAAATTAAAATTAAATCTTCACTAAATCTCATAATGTTTTAAGTACTTGGGGGCTTCTCGTGCTATAAACTCTGTCTAAGTCTCGTGGGTCTTCTAGGACAGGAAGATGTGGCCCAGTTAGGTAAGCAGCTTCTCACAGACCGTGTGCACATCAGTGTTCATTATACCAGTAGCAGTAACAATTTGCACACACTTAATAGCACACAGCAGAGAGTTTCAACGAGCTGAAGAGAGCTTTTTAATATCTACATCTCATTTTACAGATGAGGAAACCAGGGCGCATGGGATGAGAGAACTCGCTAAGATTTCACAACAATTCGCCCAAAAACTCAGAAAAAAAGGTCAGGGATCCCCACCCCACCTAGACACACGCTCGCCTACTTGCGGATGCTGCCAGTGCCACTCACGGAAGCAAGAAACGGAAAACAGGAGCCAGACATCTCATTACAACACATTCTGCCAAATAACTGCACAAACCCTGGTGCTTAAACTTTCTGACTAGCACAAAGCTTATTCTCTCATTTTCAGACCCCGAATCCCAAATGCATTTCAGCCGCGGAGTCGCAACAGGAGGGAACAGGACACAAGGCCGCAAACGCCAGCGAGACAGCACTGTAATGATTTAATTTCACGTACCATGGTCAAGGTGGGACAAGGCAGAGCCAAACTACTTTGGCTAATGACAGTGAACCTACACACCTACATACGCACAGGCACGTGCGTGGGGAAAGGCAGAAATGTCCTGTCACCACAGTGAGCCATATAATCTTCCACAATTTCATTGTGATGGCAACCACCAAACTCACATCTTCCAGCTTTAAAATCCCCGTCTGTCTCCTGTCTGAAAAATCTCCCGGCGCTGTCGGCATCGCAGAGTCTACAACAGCCAACTGAGCAGTCCTCCAGTTCTATGTAGGAGTGCGTACATATGTACATATTCAGCAAGAACCCAGCCTGCACAATAGGGACCAGATTTCTCAAATGCCTCGGCTCCCATTTAGATGCTTGGAGAAATGGTCAGGTTTTCCGAAAAGCCAAACGCTGGGTATTGAGCTCTTTTGAAGATCTGGCCCCAACTACATGTGCTGAGCAACTGCACTCAAACGGTTTAGAAAAATCTGTCCCACAGAGACCAGTCTTCGTGCTCTGCTCAAAGGACTGCATTGAAACCAGAACCACACCGCAGGCTGATGAGGAGCTCAGCGCTGCTTCTGCCGAGAGTCCCCGCACGCAGCCCCAGGCCATGGCCACAGGCACACCTTGCTCCTCCACTGAGCTTATCAAGCTCTTCTCCCCCTCTCACACCACCTCCTCTCCAGGCTCTCTGTGTCGCTTCTGCTCGGGCAGAGCAGAAACCCACAGGCCTGGGCACCCAGGACGTCTCTAGGCTGCAGCCCTTAAGCTTTGCACAGTCTGGGTGTCTGCTGCCTTTGCACGCCCAGTAGCACCCATCTTCCCCCGCTCCAGTTACTCTCTAATACTTCTGGGTACTCAGAAGGGCAACAGGATCCGACACTTTCTTCAGTATTACTGGAGAAACGCAGTGCCCTGTGTTCAACAGGCAGGACAATAAACCCCACGGTCATTTTGCAGGTGGGCTGGGCTGCCCCCAGACCAAGGCACTGGTGGGAAGGTTACGCTGGCCGCCCGCAGAGACCACAGCACTGAGATGGTCACGGTGCCCGGTCACTCCTGGCTCTCTCGCCTGTGTCGACAGGCCCTCAGACAACCTGGGGCGTTCCCCAGCTTGCACCAGTGGCTTTTGAACGTGTGGGTTCTCTCCAGGAACCGGAAGGCTCCAAATGCTTCCTGCAAGAGCCGCAGGGCGCAAAGGGAGGGGAGGGCAAGCGGAGAGGGGGAAAGCAGCGCTCGGTCCCCGGCCTCTGAAATGTCCCCTCCCCACCTGGCTCTTCTGCATCCAGCACTTTGTCTGCCTGGCACACAGGCGCTCTGCAAACCCTCCTTTCCAGGAAACTTCACAGATAATACAGCCACTGCCAACAGCCCAGCCTGCCCACAGAGACCTGGCTGGCTGCGCCACGAAGCAGGAGGAGGGAGGGAGGATGCACTGCAAGAGCAGGGAACCTTTCGACACCCCCCAGCCCACCTTCGCAAGCAAAAGCCGAGCCCTACCTTGCGACCGCTCGGTGATCCCTGGGCGAGCTGAGGTCTGCAGGGAACGTGAACCTGCCCCCAGCGACAAACTTCATGGAAAACAAACTCTCCCCATGCAGGACTGAGCAGCTGGGGCTTGGCATGTGGGCACGGAGCAGGCCAGGCCTGCGGCGGGGGGAGCGTGGCCGCATCGGCGGGGGGGAGGCGTGCCAGCGACACAATCTCCCATCGAGAGCAGGAGGAACGAAACAGGATCTTTCGCTGCCAAAAAGGGTTGTGCACAGCTCCTCCTGCTTCCCCCCACAGCCGTCTCCCCTTCCCCGAGCCCCCTCTTCTAATCTGCTGGACACCAGCAATTGGATCATTAAAAGTAAATCGGGCAGGGGAAGGAGGGAGGGAAGAGCCGGGAAGAGCCAAGTGGGCTCTGCTGCTCCCTCCCTCTTTCCCAGGCTCTCTGAACTCCCTCACCCGGAGGAGGAGGAGGAGGAGGAGGCCTGGCTCTGGGCTGCAGCCATGGCAGCCGCAGCGAGGAGGAAGGCAGCACGGGGCAGAGGGACACTAAGCCCCTGCCTGCAACCTCCCTTGCTCTGGGGCCACGCTGAGGATTTCATGGGTTTGTCTCGAGACACGCTCTGAGTGCATGAGAGGTTTTACACAAGGACTCAGGGGCTTTGTGTGCTCTCAAGTTATTGCTGCACCCCCTGCTAATGGAAGGATTTGCTGGGGGCAGTTAAACACCCACATAACAGGAGGTGACAGAAAGCTGGTCAAGGATGCTGCGAAGCAAGGCCGCTATCGCTAGAGCAGAGCAGATTGCGGTTCAGTACTCCTTCCCAAAAAATCTGCGCTCGCCTTGCGAGCGGCCATCTGCATCCCACTCGGGGAAGAAACTGCCCACTTTGCCCTTTGATGCCACAAAACTCCAAGAGGCCGACCTCTGTCACCAACTCGAATGCAAACACAAAGCCCCTCGCAGACCCGTTTGGTTTAGATTTCAGCCCAGTTCAACTTCTCCAGTGTGCTACATGTGCCAGGCTGGATCTTTGGCTCATTTCCTCCACTGGCATCGGGTCTAGACAGACAGGGAACGGCGGTGGGGAAGCAGGCTCTGCCGCGCATCTGCTCAGACGCCGGGGGACCGGGGGCTCGTGCACTGCTCTGGCTGGTGCTAAGGGGGGGCAGGACAGACACAGTCCCTCTGCCCCAGTAAAGTCATCCCCCACTGCGGCTAGGGAAGCAGTTCAGGAGCTAAAGGTGTGTTACGATTGTGGAGAACTGGCTCTGCACCCAGACCTGAGGAACAACTGCACGTGGGCTTATTTGCTCCAAGCCCCTGCCTCTCTTCCCTGTGTCACTGGGCAGGGACTGTTCCTCTCATAACAATGGCTCATACCCAAATTAAAAGTCCCCTGATTTTGCTTACGGGTTCCAGGTGTTCACCAAGAATAGCACTGGACGAGTGTCTCCCTCCACGGGGTATATGCCTAAAAACGCTGTCGTGCATGTGCTCCCGTCTGCTCCCAGTGTGACAAATTTCATTCCACGGAGCGTGGTAATTTTTTTTCTGTGCGTTTCGAGCAGACAATATAGGTGACAGAACATCTGTACTTCATTCAACCCCTGTGCGTCATCCAGCATTTTCTTGGTATTTAGCTATTGTTTTCTTTCTTTCTTTCTTCTTTCTTTTTTTAAACAAACAAACCCTGCAAAGGCTCCCACAGGGTAGAGCACACACATTGCAATACCAACCCCAAAGAAATAAATGGGGCTGGTTTTTCTAAGGCCTGGTATGTTCTGAGGAAAACCCAAAGCCTGGAGCTTTCCCATTTTCAGGACAGCACAGAAGGAAATGCTTCGGCTGGTATCATTTGCGCCTGCAAGAGGCGGGAGATGCCGATGTTGGCTTGCAGCCCCCCATCACAATTGTCCCTTGTTCCACAGAGAACAAGAAGACTCTTCACAAACCCTGAACTGTTTTACAGCAGGGCTTAGGAGTCCAAATCCCAAGTCTTTGCTGTCTTACTACTACTACTGGGTTAAACCCCGTGCCCCTCACGAAGTCGTTAACTCAGACAGAGTTTTCCTCTGTAAAGTCTAAGGGAACAGCCCCAGCCCTGCACTGGAAGGGAGCTGTCAGGCACTGGAACGGAGAGCCATGAGCACCTGCAGCCCGGGGACTCACACACGCGCTTTGGTCTGCCGCTGAGTGATCAGCCCCCCTGCAACGCCTCCGGCTCCGGGAGGACGGGACCAGGCAGCTGCACAGCTGGACAGGCTCGAGAAAAAGCTGTTCCACTCCAGGTCAGCACTGCAGCACGCCCAGTTCCCCCGAAACATGTGCCGTTAGATCACGCACTGCTAGTCACGTACTCCAAAACCATGTGGGAAGGAACGGCTCAACCCCCTCTTCGGGTACCCCTTCGAAAGGTCTCTGTTCCCACACCGCCTCACCCCCCGTCCTTCCCCCCTGCCCTTCACAACCGCTCCCAGACCCGTAAACTACCCAACACACCTCTGGAAGCCGAGAGAGCGCCTTCCTCACCCTGCCCAGCTCAGCTGCTTTGCCCACCTCGGCCCCCTTTCAACGCGGACCCTCTCTAAGTGGAAGAAGTTTATTTTGCACTTGCGCTGCGGCCGCGCCGAGCGATCCCGGCCCTGGAAGGGGCCTCTGTCGGATCTGCTGCTCGCAAACCCGATGAGCCATCAGGAGGGGACGAGCGGTGAGACGGCAGCGAGACGGAGTCTCTGCACGTTTCTGAGGAACCCAGAGGCTAACAATAGTGGCAAGCGCCACTGAGAAGCCTATAAATAAATCCATTTTCCTCCTGTTTTCGCTCTCCCCCTGGCGCTGACCTGCTTTCCAACCAAAGCTGGGAAGCGGCACCACCCCGGCTCCTACCTGCCAGGCACGTGACTGCGCTCCCACCCCTGCCACCAGAAGTTGTGCAAATATAGAAACCCTCGTACGGTCCCCAGCCTTGGACTCGCACAGCCCGTCAGTTATAATTACAGCCGAGCTCTCCAAAGCTCCCGTCAATCACCCCGATCCTGCCCTCTCCCCCACCCCCTCGGCCCGCTCGTTGGCTAAAAATAGCAAGTTCCAGTACAGCCGTTCACCTTGTGCCAAGCGCTCGCTCCCCGCCCATGGCACAGATGCTCTTCCTCCCTCCCGCCTCCTCCTCTGCTCGCAGCAGCTGAACACACAAGAGGAGTAAACACGAAACACTCCCCACAGGCTTCAGCCTTGTCGGCAGGAGGCAACGCGCTGCCTCGGCGCCGGCAGCGGGGTAGGCACCACGAGGTTCGTCGGGTTTGCCCATGGGTCAGGTATGGTTTGGGCAAGCTTCCCAAACACGTAACGGACACGGCAGGCAGCGTTTCAAACTGGATATTGCGGGATAACCTCTGTAAATAAAGGAGGAGATGGCTTTCCTGCCCACAGAATTTATGGACTCTCAGCTGGGCATGCCAGGAGGGTGTCAGTCAGCATTAACTGACAGCCGGACTGCTTTTGAAAGCCCGTATGCCCTTGTCCTCTGGGGACTGGGCTGGGATCCATCAGACTTAGGCCACATAACCCACCAAAGTGTCATCAGGCTGTTTCTGGATGTGCGTCACTACCATTACCGTTCAAAATCGTTTACAGAACGTGAGGATGCCTACTGCAACAAGACAAAAACAAACAAAAAAGAAGTAAACAGCCAGAAACCTATGGCAAGACTTAAAAGATTTGTGCTGCAATTTGCAGGGGTATCACCGCTGGTGTTTATACAACAAGGTAAATTTGGCTTTTGGCTGTAGTGGAATATATCCAGAGGTTGCCTGGTAGAGCAAGTCTGGATTTCTGCTAACAAAACCCAGGATATGGCCCATAAAGTATTAAACACTACCTGACCATACTGACAGTAGCCCTGCATAAGTTATTTCTGCTTCAGATCCTACCCCACCACTTTGGATAGACGGGGTGCAAAGGAGGGTGGCAGTACCACGTTGTGGAGTCCTGATATTGCAAAAGCTGTACCCACCAAGAGGTAGGAAAGATTTCTTATTCTCCTGCCACTCCTGCCATTTAGGGCTATTTATTGTTATAAATAACAAACACCTCACAAGCCTCCGGCCTCCTCATTTCTTTCGGTACAGACCCTTCCACACTGGAACCTGCACCCCTGTCAGAACCCAGAAGTCTGCTGGGATTCTGCCTTACACGTTCAGTGCTGCTTTTCCTTGAAACATGAGCGTTTGTCACGTGAGTCAGTTGGTTAATTATGAACCTTGGAGCGCTGTTAACATGTCCTGTAACACTGCAGCAGTTTTGATGAGTATGTCTTAACCATCAGAGTTAGATAAATAACTATCGTACCACTCGGATCTGGCATGCCGTGCTCCTCCAAATAACTGTTTAATGAAGATAAACTATTTTCACAGGTAGACTTGAAGCAGGTGGAATCCCTGTGGCTGGTTAATCTGACTAACAAAGTACTACCTAGTTTATTCTAATTGTTCTTGCCTACTATAAACCTGCTGGCCATGATGCAGATTACTAATCAGTATCTTTTTGTCCTTTAACACTTGTACTCTGGGACCTGAGGACAACCACCTCCAGTTTATGTTCTCGAGCTGCTGCATTTAAAACCACGGCCCAAACTACTTCCACACAGATCAAGTCCGTAGCTGGAAACCACAGCACAATGTCCTCAACGCGGACGTGCCACAAGCCAGAAAAGAGAAAGTTGCACGTTTCACAGGCATGTTCCGCCAGGACCCCCCTGGCAAAATCCAAACATGCGAACTTGGCCTCCCATTCCCACAGCTGTGCTGCTCTATTTGCACACACATCTCTAAAGCCCTGTTTAAAAACGCAGCTACTATCCACATCTCCAACTGTGAAACTCTTTTGCAGAGTTGGGGCTCACCCGAGGAGCCACCGGTGCTCCCTGCACATTCTTCCCCTTCTCACCTCCATCCCACACGGCTGTGCCTTTCTGCACTGACAAAGTCTGTGCAGATCTTACCTTCTTTGGCCTTTCATGGTGGGATACGTGCTTCTCTTGAGCAGGGGATGTGGATCGACTCCTTCTGCCAGCAATGAAGGAACTACCTCCAGAGTGACGTGAGGTCTTCTGAGGGCAGTGGGGAAGGGGAGAGGAGTTGGAGAACAGAGAAAAAGAGAGAGAAGAGTGTTACAGAGTCCAGTTTTCACTGTTTCAGTGAGCAAAGTTACACTAAATGGCTTGTCAACCACATGCAAGATCAAATTCTTTTTGTACCGGATGCCCAGCCTGGTCCTAACACGGGGACCACAGCGGACACCACACTATCAGGCTTACAAAGAGCATGCAGCTCTAACTCCCCCAGTCCTTGGTTCTTGGTGGCCCACGCACACTGACACTTGTACAAGAAAGGCACAGCTGCCAAGAGACCACTCTGTAACAACAAGATAAAGAGCAGCAGCAACGTTGCTCAGACAAGCCAGTCCTCCTGAACAGCAGCGTCCGGCTTTCAGTCTTGAGTGGGGGCACGTGTGGAAGGATGCCCTGCTCTCCGACTCCAGGCATTAGCACAAGTCCTGCTATCTATCTCAGCATCAGCAAACCTGATACAGAGCTACACTTGTGGCAGATACTGGGGGTACCTGAAGGGCTGGGAAGGTGTCCTCCAGTTTGACTTTGAGGGGAAGCTCGAGACATCAGTCACTGTATGTGACAGCACTGATAAGCAGGACGGAAAGTGGGAAAGGCCAGCAACAAAGGAGCCACTGAGACATGAAGCTGTAGTGAGAGGATCAAGTTTCCTTTTTGCTGGAGGGGGCAGAGCAGGTGTCTAATAATTATGCAGAACAGGAAAAGGGTTCCTCTCTTTCTTTCTCGGTACTGTAATTAATAGGGGAAGTCCTTTGCCCCAAGTATCTCTCAAAGAGCGAATGACTCCATGTCTCTTCTGGGCTGTTCCTTTCCTCAGGCAGAAGTTCTGGCCGTCCTGTGTAACCCTCCTGCCCAGGGTGCCTGAGCTATCCCCCCGAACTCCCTGGAACATCAAACATCAAGGCTGCTCTACTTCCTGGGGACTTATCTTTCAGCCATACAGAGTGGGTCAGGGAAGCCAAGACAGATAGGAAGAATTCAAGCCCTAGTTCTGAAAAGGGGTTTAAAGTTGCTATAGAAATGCAAAATATAAATTAATCTTTATTCCTAAGTGACTCTGACTGAATGGCTGAAAAGGGAAGAAGACCCCAGACCTTGTTTGTATGTTCCTGTCATTTCTTTCTGCTCTGAGCACAGATACGCTCTAGGATGAGGACCAACGCCTTTTATGTGACAAAAAAAAACCCCTCCATTGCAGGGATGAAGAAACTCACCATTTTATTGAAGTGGTACTTGCAGTAGCCACAGTATTTGACATTGTCGACTTCTAGGACTTCCTCTTCACATAAGAGGCCAGCCATCTGGGCACTGAAAGACATAATTAGGAGGAGGATAAAGCAAATTGTACAGCCGGACCACATATCCCATCAAAGGGCAAAGAACAGTTCATGATACCCAGGCAAGGCCTTGAAGTTTCCTGTGCTGCTTGGCAAACGATATGCAAGGAGGGGGAAAAAAAGTTCAGACTATTTTTAATTCCTCTTAAGATCTTCAAAACTGTCAGTACTTTCCTACCAGACCATCTTGCAATTTTTGTTTTTCTTAAGGGACACGGGGAGACCAGTAACCATTCCAGTGAAAGACATATCATGAGCAAGGAATCCATGTAAAGCTGGGAATCTCCCTGTTCTGCTGATAGGCAACGTTGTTTTCAGACTTCGAGGGTACATGAGGATATCAGCCCTTAAAATCACATCATCTAGATGATACTCTTGCATGTGCTCTGCTGAACATTCCTGGGTTGTGACTCATCTCTTCTCTTCTTGGATTCCACATAGTCTTAGGGAAATCCCCAGCCTTCGTTCTCAGCAGGGAAGGCTCACTGGTGAAACCTTAGCCTTCCTGGGGAAGTTCTGCTCACAAACCGAGCGAGGATGAGATACCCCTTGCACAAAACAAACCCGGGGTGATTAGCCCAACTCCCTACACCCCCCACTTCGTGCAGCCTCAAATCCATAGCAGCAAGGCCAACAGCTGGGGGTATCCTTGGGGTAACGTTGCGGGGAACTCACCAGGTGACGTGGAAAGCTTGCCGGCAGCCGTGTCGGTTACAGGCCATGCATGCTCCAGAGGCTGCTTTGCTCTCCCTGCCCTGCTCTTCACAGATGTAGCAGGTCTGGAAAAGAAAGGAAAAGTGCTCACTCAAAGAGGCAGACAAAATGCCTACTTCACTCCCACTGTTCACCAGGAACTTCAAGAACTCAAAACTCTGTGTCCAGCCATCTCCCTCCTACGACAAGAGCTCTGGGTTATTTCTCGGTGGCACGCACAACACTCATGCCTCTTCTTTTTCTCCCCAAGTAACAACTGTGTCAGATCAAAATGCGGAGTAACCAACATGCAACTCCCAAGTTGCTCAAGTTGCAGGGAGTTGGGGAAGACAGAAATGGAGGACCAAAAAGTTAGTTGCAAGAATGGGGATTTACTTTGTTAGTTATTTTAAAAGGAAACCGAGTACCTGGAAATTAAAATAAATTGGACAGATGCAGTAGAATAAGATGACCCCAAAAAGCCAAGGCGGGGCAAGTACACTTGGGGCAGCAGGAGAAAGGGCTGGCCTTACCTTGTTGAAGCGGTCGTGGGGTACGTACTGCAGGACAATTGGCTCCATGGTGAGCACGTTGGCAAACTGCACCTCCGGGATGTACAAAGCACAGACGACATGGGCCCACCCTGGGGAAGCAAACAGGACAGAGCAGAGATTCACACGGGGCAACGCAGAGGAGCCTTAAACTCAGACAGGCCTGCAGACAAGCACGGGAGGGAGAGAAGGAAGAGAGTGTAGGAAGGGAGCCAACTTAAGTTAGATGTTAGATTTGAAATAATGCTTGTTGTAACCTGGTTAGCAATCAAATCCTTCGTGGGTGAAAGACAGACGGATCACACCTCCAGATTAAATAAGAAAGCAGAGATTTCTTTGGGAAAAGAAATGCACAACCCTCATCGTTAAAAGCACTCCCTCAGGACTTGAGACCCACAGTTGGGGACCTAACCAAACCCAGGAAAAGCATCCAAGCAGTAAATGATGCCGATGGGACAGGTTTGACGCGTAGTCCCATGCCACTGGAAACAAAGCTCCCTTTCTTGGCTGTTATCAACGGCTAAAGAAGGCTCTTTTTCAGCAAGCCAAGTTAGATTAAAATCTAAATCCACCAAGACACTTCCCAAATCAGATGTGCAAGTTGAAATTCCATCTGGTCAGGACAGAACCAAGAAAGTTTGAAGGTCAGGAGCCTTTGGGGGCTGATCCATACTGGTATGGCTACTGCACTGGAAGGATTTAGTTAGAATTAGGATGGATTCACCTGGGCAGACTTGAACCAAACTCCATGATTACAGAGTCACACAGTACTGTGAGCACTTGGGCTATATAATTCTGTGCAGCGACACGGTTGTAACACTCCTTGTGCGCGTCTACACAGACCTGACCAAACCATGTAATAACATGTTTGGAAGAAGATGCTATGTTATTATAAAACAATCCCCCAACATGACACTTGTGCTATTGTGCTAAGGCTCTTGGCACTTAGGACCAGCTCTAGCAGATGCTTCTACAAAATATCCTGGACATAGTCCTTAAACACGGGATCTATCAGAATAAAGACCTCCTTGCCTAATTTAACTCTTTGTGCATTAAGGTAAGTGACAGGTAGATACAGAAGCCTTTCTGAAAAATGAAGTTTTGAGAAAAATTAAGTTTGATCTATACAGCCAGTAGCATCAACAGCTGCAAGCTCTGACAACTGAAATCAGACTCCACAGCACTTCACAGCACCAGAGGCTGAGAAGCATCAATGATGAGCAGGTAAGTCCTGCAAAGAAAAAAATCTTTACTGTGTCCCGGTCCCTGCTCTTGGATGGGGACTCAAGGCTGAGGCTCTGCTGACTCGAGGATCACACTGCTGCTGTGCAAGCGAGCAGCAAATAACTCTGCAACGTCCACATTTCTGTAAACAATACCGGATCGTGCACTGACTCCTGCAAGGTTAAACTCAAGAAACTGCACATTTCAGGGGCTGTGCTTCAATGCCAGCGAGGCCAGGCAGGTTCCCCCCCCAAGGGAAAGGTCTTCTCACTGTGGAAGCTTCAGAAAGCGTAGTTTCGTAAGAAAAAGGCAGTTTTCATTCCTCTGAAGCCTCTAGCCTTCCCTTTCTGGTGACATCAGCTCAGAAATTCATTATTTTGTGCCTAGGACAGCTGCCGAGTCCCCAGAGGCTCTGCGTGACATACCCGGCTCTGCGCAGAGGTACTCACCTCCGTTGTCGGTCCGTTTCAGGGCTCCATCTTTGTGGGGACACAGTTCACATCTCTTGAAATTAAGCAGAAACAACAAGTTTAATCTAACTCCCAGGGGCGTGGGGCCAGAAAAGAGACGATTCATTTACAACATGGTTATGAAAGACGGGGCTGCTTTCAAAGAGAGGAAGTGGAAGAAGGGCTGAGCACGGTTTGGGTGCAAAAAGATACTCTGACACAGCTCGATATCGTCCTGTCTGACGGGGACGTATTTAAAGCCTCAGCCCAAGAGCCACGGGGCTACAAGCGAACCTTGACTTTCACGGGGCTTTTTAAAAAAAAGTTTTAGACTTTGCGGTTGGAGAGTAAAACCGAAAACCATGACTCAGAGAGCAGAAGGCAAATAAAAAGAAGCCATTATCTATCTTTGCCTCTTTCCTTCCTTCCTTCTCTCTTTCTCTTGCGATATTTTTTCCAGTCTCATGAGAGGCGGGTGAGGCTGTCATGACATTTTTGCTGGTGGGGCGTGGGGGGCCATGGCGAGCTCAGCCTGAATGGCTGGGACCGGTGGGTAGGCACCCTTCCTCCCCCCCAAAACCCAGCCTCGGGGGTGGCTGAGGGGTGATGGAGAGGGCATGAGGGCAGAGTCCCTGCCATCCAGGGGGGTGAAGAAAGCTCCTTCAGCGCCATCATGCTGTGCCGGAGGCTGCAGGCCCAGCGCCATGATGGGCTGTGAGGGACGGGAGCGACCCTGCGGCCCTCTCCAGTCACTAACGGCTGCTTTTGGGGAAAACCGTGAGGGGGAGACACGCTGTCTCCTCCACCGGCCA